CAGAGTGAAGTGGAGAGAGAGAAAGATCCTAGCAAGTGTGTAGGAGGTAGAGACAGAACCGAGCAGATTGGAGACAAAGAAAATCCTCTCTCCATAGGGAGTGGAAGCAGTATCATGAGTCCGGGCAGGAAAGTGCAGAGTTGTTTTAAGGATTTAAGAAGACAAACAGGAGGTGTGAGACCCTGAGACTTTTAGTAGGTGGTTCCCATAGTAACAGATTATGTACAGAGTGAAGTGGAGAGAGAGAAAGATCCTAGCAAGTGTGTAGGAGGTAGAGACAGAACCGAGCAGATTGGAGACAAAGAAAATCCTCTCTCCATAGGGAGTGGAAGCAGTATCATGAGTCCGGGCAGGAAAGTGCAGTAGATGAGGAAGAGAGAGAGATGGGGAGGGAGTAGGAGGAGAAGGGGTTTGTCATCAGTCATGCAAAATGAGAACGAGGAGAGAAAGGCACACAAAAAAGCATCCTTTTCTTAGCACAGGTTCAAGTTATTATTTTCGAGTTATTTTTGAGTTATTTCCAAGTCCCAGAGGGCAACATTCCATAATCAGATCATCAGGGAGAGGAAAGGCAAGATCCTGTCCTGGACAGGAAGTAGTGTGTGTTCCTATCTCTGGAAATAGTGTCCCATATCCAGAGAAAGGAAGTTTTCCAACACACTGGTGTGATTTTGAGGCAAGTGAGACTAGCAGAAAACTGAGGAGAGAAAGGCACAAAAAAAAGCATCCTTTTCTTAGCACAAGTTCAAGTTATTATTTTCGAGTTATTTTTGAATTATTTCCAAGTCCCAGAGGGCAACATTCCATAATCAGATCATCAGGGAGAGGAAAGGCAAGATCCTGTCCTGGACAGGAAGTAGTGCATGTTCCTATCTCTGGAAATAGCGTCCTATGTCCAGAGAAAGGAAAGGGGTTTTCCAACACACATGTGATTTCGAGGCAAGCAAGAAGAGCAGAAAACCCTGCAATGAGAGTGTGGCACGACCAGCCAGTAGGTGAAGACAAAGTACAAGGAATGGGATAGGAGAAAAGCAGAAAAATGCAGTGAGCCAGAAGGGAGGGAAGTTTGTGGAACAAGTTGATCCAAGGTTTAGTAGAGGCTGAGGGAATATGAGCCCTAGAAGGGCAGTGGTTTAGTAGAGGTTTGGTAGAGCCCCAGAAGGGCAGTGGTGAGAGAGAGAGTGATAGGGAGAGAGGTACTTAAAATTAATTTATATAGGAACCATGTTGTAGATTAACAGGAGAATATTTTGGCTGAAAGAAATATTTTGGTGTTTATTTAACATTTTATTCGTATGAAAGTTTAGTTAAAAAATTAATATGATACCAAGTAAATTAATTTTAGGAAACATAAATTTATGTTGACTATGTATACTTAATTATATAGTCTTTGTTGAGAATGTGGTTTATCATTTTTAAACCAAAATACATTTGAAGTAGACAAACAAAATGAATACACCTTTAAACACCTTGAAAGCAAACTAAAAACAAAAATGGTATTCAACAAATAGGATTTTACTCAACCAGCTTAGATGTCATTTTGTATAGGTAATTAGTGGCCTAAAGAGTTAAGTTTCCATATAGATTTGAGGTAGCATCTTTTCCCTTTTTAAGAACTAAATAACTTAAGGGAATTAATAAAACCTTGTCAATCTAAGAACATAATTCAGAGGAGACAGGAAAGACAAAATGAAACATTAACAGATTAGGTTAAGAATAAATAAAATCTAAATAGTACCGAAAATAATCCATTTAGTTTTTACTTTA